CTTAATCCTCATAATCTACACAATTTTTTTCCTCCTTAACCGTATATTCTTTTCCGTTTTGTGGAGTACAATTATGCACCCTTGGTTACGTACCTGGTTATAAAAGGCGGTCGTCATAGGCTCAAGGTCACGCGTTTGATCGATTTTGTTAAAGAATCCAACTTCTAGCAAGTTCACCCTTTTACATATATGCATTACAAAAGAGTATTTTTTTGTTTTCATGGTTTTTCGTGCACAAGATATCTACACTATGTCTATTTCCTTCCAGAATACTAGTCCGTTCTGGAGGCCAATCACTTACGTGGAACCGAACAATTATCAATTACATTTATGTATTTCCATTTTGTATCTTATTATTTTATGCAGGCAGTGGAGCAGTTCTTCAGGTTTGCTTGATTTTCACCATTACCTTGGAAGTAGATTCTTCTTTACTTTTTACTTGAGGGCGACTCAAGAGGCAGGTGAGTAAACACCTGATAGCCGGTCTGAGCATGGAAAAATCGTACCTCACCAACATGGTGTTGGGTAGCCCGCTCGCGGCACTTCCTCAGATATTCTTATTCCACATTCTCACACTCTTTCTCTTGAAAGCACACAGCAAACCGTCGGCGATAGTTGTAGAAGAAATCACATGCTACAAAATAAGATGACAAGCTAGTAAAGAAGAGACATCCATGGACTATCGTTGACAGCGTCAGTCGTCACTGATTGTAAGTCAAACAGTGAGCGAGTTGATAATTTTCCCTTGGGATGAGAAATAGAACTAGGGTGTTTTCGATAGTTAGGTGAATCGAACCGACGTTCCTACGGAAGTCGATTCTAGGGGGAAGCTAATGTAACAGCTTAGGTTGGTTGGCTAAGAGTTGACCCCAAACAACCAAGCATATGCCAAAACAGTATTGTTCAAGTATTCATTCACTTCCTTGTTTTGTATAAGCGTTATATTCCCTATTATCTTATATTGAATGTTGAGAGCCTTTGTTTGTCTGAACAGATAGTCCCACGCTCCACTGTGACCGCGCCGAGATCGAAATAAAGACCTATTCGCTACTTGTCTGGTTTCTTCTATCAATAGCACGAGGGTTACTTTAAGGCACGAAAAACATACCACTTGTGTCATACTTAAACATATGAACTTTTCTGATTAATATTATCATCAACACGTGTAAATGGACCATCTAATTTGATATTTGATTATCCCTTGCAATTAATTGAGACTCATAGCATCATTCTGAACTAAACGAACTTCCATTCCACTGCCGAATCTTACTGTGATAATGATATATTTTATCATTAATTCATGTTTTATTCATTTGGCAATACGTACGTCATCATTTACTCTGAATCTGTATTGACAAAAACGCTTATCAAGTTACTTCCGTATTCCATGTTTATATCCTTTATTTTCCCCATATTCTTTCGTTTTCCTTCTCTAGAGTCAATTCGATATTTGCCTCAATTCAATAGATTCCGTCTAAATATGGCAAACATCATGCGAAAATTATTGAGACTTGTGTGTGATTGTATCTCTGAAGAAACCAAAAAATGGTTCTTTCGAAACACATATTTACCAATTAGTTGTTTGTGAATAATAATAGTGATTTGAGTGAAAAAAAGTGGTTGTACAACTTGTGAAAATATAGTCTACTTCGGTATTATTACTACTGTGATAATAGACCGAGTCACGGAATTGTAGCCATCCCACCATATGACTACCCAATCTGTAAGATCTTATGTGGAAGTCACATAATTGTCTACACTAACTCGTCTTATAGTGACACTCAGCAATATGACGTCTAGCACTTCTGCTAAACAAACGTGAGCTGGCAAAAGAGCAATATGTTTGGTGAAATAAGTGGAACGTTATGTGAACGCTTCTGCATAACCGGGCCAGGCCATTTCAATCCATTCTTCCTGCGTTTATCACTGTTAACCCGCTCTAAGTATTACATGCCAATTATAAACCTCTTCGGCAATTATATGCCAGGTTTCAAAGGTCGTGTGGTTAGGAACGAGTGCCACTACAAATTTATAACTCACGGACTCGAGCGCCCTCACACTTTACACCACATGTCGAGTACATATCACTGATTGGATAAACTGACCATGTGACAATGCACTATTTTTTCAGATTGACACCACTGACGGTTCATTCGCTTATACATATGGAGGCCAGGTATTAAAACGATTCCCCATGGAACCCCATTTATAGACAGAAATATATGCAATCTTTATATTAAAGCTAGCATTGTTAGTGTAATAGGTAAAAATTTATTCTGATTACAATCTGAAAACGTGAGAAAACTATTGTTTGGACAGTTATAATCGCCATGATCCTATACCCAGTAAGAGATGAACGCTAAAACCGCCAGTATAGCGTCAGCCTCTGATGTAGTAGGCCTCGACATATACGATGGAAAATTTATATCAACGAATAGGACCTAGAGGACGCCAGCCAAATCACGCTTAATAGAGAGGCACTATAGTAGGTGGAAGCTCTCCCATATCAGGGTAGAATAATCGATAAACAAGTAGGACCTGATGCAAATGTATAGGCAAGGATTGGCAAAGCAAAAGCTACATTCCTACGGTTGAAGAACATATGGGACTCAAAACAACTGTCAACCAACATCAAAGTCACAATCCTCAGTACGACGGCCAAACATTTCTATTGTGAGAAGCTGAAACTTAGGGAACTACCATAAATATAATAAAAATAATAAAGTGCACATCAGTGACATTTCACTGCGGCAAATAACAGTCCAACTTCCAGCCTAAGGAGAAACAAGGGGAAAACGCTGAAGACGGACAGGACATACATTAAGGTAACTGACAAAGTACACAGCAAAGCAAGCCCTAATTCATAATTCCAGAAGCGAAAGGAAAAAGGGGAAGGAAGGAGGAACACAATGTGTCGGCATTTTGAGGCAGACGTCAAAATAATGAAGGGGTAACTGGCATGAAGTACTTTGGAAGAAGACCATCATCACAATGAGTGTAGTTGTTTGGTTTGAATACCAATCTTAATTGTGCCATGGTATCAAGCAGGCGGGCATGGTTGTCTAACTTATAACGATTGGCTCTGAAGTTATACAGTTTAATAACCTCTAGTAAGAGACTGCCGACATTCGAGAATCAGGCCAGCTTTCATCTTTAGTACGATTTAATGAAGAATCAAAGTCTCACCAGGGATAGTTATTTTTGATGGATGACAATAAGAAGGAAAAATATAAACGTCATATCCTAGTGAACATTCAATTAAAGGTAACTTCTGAGATCTGTTTATGGGCAAATATAAAACACATATTCTTACTGTATAACTATTGAGTAATCGGAATATATATATTCGTATTGCTCTTACAGCAAGTTTTACTTTGACTTGAAGACTATTACTGTATGATTTAATATTCTTAAGATATGTCCGGTTTATTAATTGCCATATCCCACAATCACAGCCAAGTTTGGCTAGATCTTGTACAAATGTTATTTCCTATTTTGTGGTGTGATGTGGTCTGGTTGGCTTGTATATAAACCAAGTATGTTTGCAATAAATGATTCGTATAGCGATAGCTCGTATTGGTGTTCTGGACTCAACCGGTAATACTAGGAGGACAAAGAATGGTGCTCATACCGGTCAATACGTCATTCGTTTGGCACGGTACTAATATCGCATAAGTCGTATCATGATTGGTGAATAAATCACGTGATAGCTAACGGGGCCAAAAGTCACAACAAAGGCAAGATACTGTCAAACTGTCACACTTTTCAGTTTGACAGAATCAAGTAAGTTATTAAGGTTTGCAGTTATTTATCTCAAAGATTTGCTATTAATCACTAAACGTCTACTGATTATCTTCGTGAAGAATCCCACATCGAAAAAATAGTAGTTAAGATAAAACCGTTGTTCGGGTGACCCCATAAAAACACAAAAAGGTAGTTGCTTGTTCCCAATTAATAGAAAGTTGCTTGAATATTATCAGGTTACGGACAAAATTCACGTTTTTACAAATAGTTTTACAGAGAACATTATGGCGAGTTTTTATTGGATCACATGTTGAAAATATTTTTACAAAGACTATCTAGCCAAAAGTTATAAATGGAAATTCAAATAACTACACAATTTAAGTGAAAGCTGAAATGGGATGTATTGACGTAGGCTCCCGGATAACAGACTCCTATTTAAGTTGGAAAATCCTGGAATTGCCGGACCTCTCCTTAAGTGGACCAATGAATTGTTGGAAAGTCGTAGACTGAAAGTAAGGATCAATTCCAAGTGTTTCTATCAAAAATTAATACTTAGTGGAGCACCGTAAGACTCTGTCATAGGTTCTTTAGTTTTTATACTTTATGTGAATGAACTCTTAAGTATAGTTGAGTATTCAGTGCTACTACACCACCGTTCGATAGCTGTTAAGGAGTTCATGACCTTATGGTCTTTAAGGTGGGCATTTATTAAGTTAGAGACTAACATGTTCACTAAAGTATACACAACATTAATTTGATCCAAACTTGAAAACTGATTTCAGGCTCCAAGACTCTGTTAGAAAAACGATTCGAATATCTTAAAAAATAAAAAATGACGGCTACTCGTGCAATTTCAGAATCCTTGGGTTTAACATACAGGTGTGGTTTCAGAAGCTAGACCTTATTACCTCGTCCTATTACGGATTAAGAGGTGATCTGATTTTGATATACATAATACCAAGAAATGAGTAATGCCTGAATTATCCTCTTTTTCTTTCTAATAGATTAGGACAACTTAGAGGACATAATAAGCGAGCAAAAAAGCCAATAATGGACAAAATACCAGTGACATGTAGATTTACAAACCGAATAATCAATTCTTAGAACCCGTCACCCGAAAATGTGGTATGTCACTTCAGAAGACTCATTCAACAGGAGACTAAACACGCTTAGAATCTGACACGGGCCGTAAGGCTTCTGTTCTCAGTACATGAATATGAATCTGATATAAAGCACATAATTGACCTGACTTCAACGTAAGCGCGTTCTACGTCTCTTGCGTTACATCGGTTAGAAGTTTGCTGTACAGTTCAAATTACTTGTTGGCTTACCTGAATGACGCTACCGAATAAGCAGCAGTATAAAAGTAGATTCTGGGTCATAAAACGTGCGAAATATAACTTGACACTTGACCAATAATGAGGAGGGATAATAAAGGAGTAATAATGGGGAATTTCCGAGATATACTAGGGAGATTCCTTAAGAAGTGTCGCTATGTATATGGGCGAAAACAAATCAAGTTGTGGCTTTTTTCCCAACGCGATGGGAATGGCAGGTTTTTTGTGAATTTTCCCGTCAAGTGGAAATGTCTAGAAATTAACTACTTGACCTTCCTCAAAATTACCACTGTATTGTCTATCCCCCGGATCTTCCTCTGAGTTGTCTACCTTTTCCTTATATTAGCCCTTCAAGTGGTTAAATTTTAGTGTAATTAACAGACTAGTCCACTAAATAGTCGATAGTTTTTAACTATAGGTGATAATTGGACGTCAACATTTTACTGATAGATATGGTTCTTTAACCATTCCGAAAAAGAGAAAGAACGTAATTAGTGTGAGGACTATTAAGCATATTTATTAATGAAGAATGATCTCTAGTTCAAACAAAGTAATAGTGCATACCAGGGTTTACCTGCTATACCTAGGTGGGTTCAACGTACTTTATGCAATCGAGGTTAGTTTTAGTTTCAAGAATATTTATTTAATGAAAGCGGGTAACACTATAAGGAATTGGCGCGATAAAGGTGTTTTAAATGAGAAATAGCGTCTTCATCACTTGGATTTCAAAACAGATCAGCAATTGTAGTTTTATATGTGCGGTGAGACTATAATTTATGGACGACCTTTGAGCGACGCTGAAGTGATCTTGAGAGCGGACACCAAATGATTAGGACCTAATAAGGGTTGTAGAACAGTCGAAATTTTCATATACAGTTAATGATTAGGGTTTTCATCACTAACTGACATCAACTATAATGCCAAACGTGATAAGACATTTACAGAACGTTGGAATATTGAAGAATATACTTATTTTTGAATGTGGGTGCAAATCGACGCCGGATTTATTCACAGAAACATAAGGTAAAACGGCGTTTCACCATAATTCTTGCTAAGTGCTAAGGTCACTAGGGACTATGTCGTTTTTCTATCCGTTCGTGGCTAATAACAAAACAACTAACTCTTCCAGTCATGTGCTGGGTTTCAGGGACAAAAATGACTACAGCAACAGGCATGCAGACTTATCTAAAGTGTCCGTCATTCAGTAGTACAAATATTATCGACAAAGTTCTGTATTTATGATGAGAGCTACATTTGCTTTGAGTGGAGTCAGCAAAATAATAGAAATTGGTGAGATAGTCGTATGCAATCAGTAATACAAGTTAACTAGGTATAAAAATGGGAATTAGAAAGCAAAACGTTTACAATGACATGTCAAAACATAGAGGATGACGAATGAATGCATCTGCAACTTGTCGATCTACTGTAAAACGTCTCATGCAACGTATCCAATTTTAGATTAAAATTATCGTTCCGGATCCAAATAGGTTAGCACCTGATTGAAGTTCATAATGTCAGTAGCTGATGTTGTCCCTTGGTTTTGGAATGCTCAGGAGTTTTCCAGCCCACTTATTTGTTGGCTTACATAGGACAACAGGGTGGACGACTACTCAACATATATGAAAGATTTCTCAGTGAATGAAGTCTCACACTATCAACTTATCCAGTACTTCTACTTATTACTTCATGTCTAACATTAGCATTGTCCATTCACTGATTGCAGTAGTCTTACTTACTATCAAATAATAAAAATCTAATAGTTTCTTTTGCATTCATATACTGTGTTTCACGTCTAAGAAATGATAAAATGTGGAACGCTGCAAAAATTTCCGGTTTTTGTGATAAATAGGAAACTCCTTGTCTACATTATCAGTAACGGAAATCGGGTACTCGAATTTGTATTTAGTTAATAAGTTAGTAGTGTACAGAACGGTTTATATGGTTGAAAATTGACCACTATAACTCATATACCCATTTCATATTTTTCTCTAAATAGTACAAATACTAACACTTTTATATACTTGTTCGCTTTAAACTGATTAGTATTGTTATTTGGACACAAGCATTAGTACAAAGAAGCACCAAATACATATACACCACACAGGTTACTTGATTTGCGTGTAAGGACTATGATACTGCCCGGGTGTCTAAGCCGAATCAGGTGGTTCTCTTAGGAAATCGCTCCCTGACCTCGATCTACAAGGCAGTAGAGAAACGTTAGGAGATGAAGTTTCATGGGTGCTGGTGATCAACAATAGGTTCCATTTGTTCTTTTAGGACCCTGGAGCTCTTGTGCACCATTGATTTGGAATCAGAGTTTCCCACTTCTCCTAGGTAGATTGTTCATATCCATCGACCCGGTTAAGGCTCTGAGCATTCGCTTTTCGTCTTCTCAGTTTCGTAAACATCACCCACACCGCGAGAAGGCGGTGAGTAGGACTTCCTTTGTAGTGGCTGTATACGCGTGGCCACGTGAGAGCGTTTGGGAAGGGAGGGTTGACTCTCCTCGACCCTGACCATATCAAGGCGTTTGGGGGCTGATGTTCTCGTTTTTTTTGATAAATAGGTGTGGCAAATTCTTTATGTCTATATCTATGTATATGGAATTAAATTAATGTATTTTCTTTTAGAAAATGGAACTTTGTACCAATCCTAGTTTAGTAATCCCATATGGCTCTCATTCTTCAGGACAGTGTGGTTATTGTAAAAATAGTTCTGACGACAAAAAGACTAATTGGGGTAATGCTAAAATTATTTAGGAAAACACGTATTACTATGTTTATTTTATCAAAGGTATGATGGCTGAACGACTTACTGTTTCAGATTATCAATATATGATCGATCGAGGATGGCGTCGGTATGTTATTTTTTCCAGTTGTCGAAATAATTGTTTACAGATCAGGTACTTACTGTTATAAACCTTTAAATGATATTACTTGTTGTCCATCATATACTATTCGATGTGATGCATTACATTTCCATTTAAAGAAATCACATAAAAGAGTGTTGAAAAATATGTACAATTTTTTAAAGTTTGGACAGTTACCTCATGAAAAAACATCTCATCAAAAAGAGGATCTTAATAATCTTAGAACGGATGATCATCGTATGTTTGTTCCTGAGGAAAAATCGATGCCTGTTTTATCATTTAAAAATGGTAAATTGATTATTATCTTTATGTCGGTAATTATATGTATTGTTCTGTTATCATTGTTTTAATTATAAACATACCGGTGTCATTCGTCGGTCATAATATTAGGTATGGTAAATTTACGCATGATTATTTTAATGAAGATAGCAGAAATCCTTGACTGTTGGTATGAACTTGTGTTAGTAGGTCCTATTCTGCAAATCATTCTTTTCTCTTAAATCACACAATAACAGTTATTTCATTGTCATTGAAAACATACATGCGTTCAAACACTACATACCTCGACGTGTAATTTTGCCTGTAGTAGTAGGAAGTTGGACGAAATGTAGGGTTGCTCAGATCTAGACATTGCATCAATCCATAAAACGATTGATTATTTAGCTGAGTGATATTGGCATGTTCAGATAACCTGGTGTGAGTCCGTGCAGTGACTGAGATTAGTGGCTGAAGAGATCAGGTGTCATAGCACAGAATTGATTTTAATGCTGTTTTTGCATTCACTGTGTCTTCCCTTAGATATTGAGTTCCGAGATACTCTTTGATTTTTAAATCCACCCTCTTTTTTGGTTGTATTTCCCAACATTTTATCTTCATTGCTACTATGATTTAAACTTTTGTTATTCATCTTGTTGTGTCAATGTGATATCGCAACTTGGGCTGATACAGTCTCAAACTTTATTTTGGCCATGACTGACGTAACAACGTCACCTCATATGATATCAAAATTAAAAACGTTAAGTCGTCTAACTAAGGTCAGTCCGTGATGTAAAATTACAAATTTAACAATTTCTAAAGACCCTTCATACTAATTATTGTTTATGCTTAACAATTCAATGTTATACAGTCGCCGCAGTTCAACAAAATGAAGAGAAAACTAAAAGCCAAACAAATATATATCAAACAGATTGTTTCGGCGATAAAATATCATCATCAACAGAAAACGCCCCTAGTACACCACATTATACATTAAATACATCAAATGATAGTAATAATAATAATGTGGAATTTCAAAGTATTCATTCAGGTGATAAAATTCAAAGTTCATCGTCGCATGAAAGTCATAAAATGAAAGCTCATCTTCGTCGTTGGATAGCTAAACAAGAACATTTGCGTCATAGAAGCCTAAAAGAAAATCGTTCATTTGAAATTTTACTTCAGGTATTATTTTCTAGTATATTTTTCAGAAGATATTATAAATTGATTTTATGTTGTGAAATTGAAGATAGCAGTTGACAAATAGATTGTTTAACTAACTGTATACTGTGAACACACAACTTGTAATTAAGTAATTTACAGTTTGAATACCGTTCATCAATCTTTGATATGAAGTACAAAACATATGTTTACTGTGATCAACACTAAATGCGGCATTACATTTATGTACTCAACTTAGATTGGGTACAATGAGTAGTTGTGTATACTTATCAATGTAAATTAATTATGGGAAGTATATGTTTAAATCGTTCGAAGTAAGAGTAACAGCTCTTTTTACTGGTGTTACATTTTACTTGCTGGTTAGTGAGTTTCTGTAATCTGTTATTCATTGTCAACTATTAAGTAATCACATTGGAACCTTTTTTATCTAACTTAGTGTAAAGAAGCGTACATCATGCAGATGTACATCTAGACTGCGGAAATACTTAAAAATATATCAAGAGACTAGAATATGCGGTAACAATGTACTAGGCAACTGCTTTGTTCTGCGCATGCTTGTTTGCGAGCTATACTTTTGAGTTTAAACCATCTAGCTTTCAACTATTGGGTCGTTGGTTTCATACGTTACTTCACCTACTTTAGTTCAGTTAACTGTATATCAGTATGAGTAGTTTCCACCCACATACGATCAAGATCAGTTGTTGAAGTCTTTGGGTTACACGCCTCAGAGACACTTGATTATGGGTTTTGTGCCGTTTGATTCCCATCAGAGAGGTGTAGCTGTAATATGGAGGGAAATGATACTCCGTCGCAGATTCGATCCCGTGTCATTCAGCTTTACGGTCTGTGACTTTACCACTGGTTTGTTAGGATCGCGGCTAATCTGTAGGATTAAGATATTTACGGTTTGTCAGTCACTGAGCAGTGACGAATATCGTGTTCGTCAATTCTTTCTTAGTGCTGATCAGATTCTATTTCAAAGTCTCCTGTCGATCACTTTCAATCACCTGATATACCAATAGGGTGCACCTAATCACATTGCAACTTGATTGATGTAATTCAATCAGTCTTAAAGGACCACACTAACATGACATTGATCAATACTCCAAAAAATAAACCAATTGTAAGTGTTACTAACTTACTAAAGACAAACATTTTTCATTGTGGAAATTTTTCAATTGTTTCTCATTTGTTGTTGTTATTGCTACCAGGAATACTATGAAAGACGTCAGAAACGTCTAGATAAAAATAAACCAAAGCAAGTCGAAGATTTTCTACAATCTGAACCAAACAAAGGAGAAGGAAAGCACTTTATCGAAGTATGTGTGCAAATTTTCGTTTTTTATGTTAATGGAAATAGATGATATTTATACCACTAATCCATGAAATTCCTAATTATTTACTTCACTTTATTCTGATATCCTTTAATTGGTTGATGGTTAGTGAAAACGTCTGGGTTTCGAACTCGACACCCATTAATTCAAATCTTATACTGTTTTTTATTTTCATATCAATTAGCTTGTGGTCAAATTCTCATGTATAGTTCGCGTTCACTCATTCATTATGTAGACATTGAAATTCAAATATAATCATGAACAACAGTTCCACTGGATTATAGACTTTCAAGATTATATGATGACAAGCAGGTTTCCTAAATTTTAGATATTTATTATATATATGCCATAAACGCACCAAATGTTAAGTTTTCACACTTACGTTCAAAAAAATGCGATGCGTTCCGACATAAGTGTTCTCTCTGTATGTTTAAAGCTTATTTCACTAAAGTTAATGATATTTATTACCCCCACTAGTTGAAGATCATAATAATGGATATTTTCAATTTCTACTGTTTACTGCTGCCAAATTCCCTGGCATGACTGAGGGTAAGGAGAGTCAGCTCTCCCCTTCCAAATGCTCTCACATGGCCACGCGTATACAGCCACTACCAGGGGAGTTCTACTCACTACCTTCTCGCGGTGTGGTTGATGTTTACGAAACTGACAAGACGAAAAGCGAATGCTCAGAGCTTTAATCGGGTCGGTGGATATGAAGGATCCATCTAGGATAGTTGAAAAACCCTGACTCCAAACTGATGGTGTACATGGTATCCAGTATCCTGAGTGAGCAAACGGCGTATGGACCTATTGTTAGTTGAAAGAGTAATATTTCACTCTTATTTTGTGTAGTATTCGTTAGGCATTATATTTCACTTTGCTATTTCCGAATCATAATAAGAATCGGATGAGAACCTCATATATTTCAATAATCCGAACTACGAAGATATATCATTACAATTGGAGTATATATAAGATTTTCACAAGAATCATCTAGTATACTTTACACTTATCCACTAACTCTGATTGGTTGAAAATGGACCAACAATCTCATTCCGATTTGATCCTGATGCTGAAATGCAATATGTTTATTCACGACTCTATCGTTCTAACATGTGAGGTAAATGTTTGCGTTTTATTCTGGTTAGCGTTTTTTAGCGAGTTAGTTTTCTACGGGATGGGGTTGCTAACCCCATGCCCAACCCTACTCCTTTACCCGGGTTTAGAACTGGCAGTAACTCTACAAGAGCTACAGGCGGAGTTAAGGTAAATGTTTGAAGCAATGATAAACCACTTTACTATTTTATTTATCTTCATTTCATGTTTATCAATCTTTGTATATGATAATTATAATAGTAATATACTTTTGTAATTAATGATTCTCATATTATAGATTCGTTTAATACGTACATCTTCACCAACAGATAACGATTATGAATCTCGTATAAAATTATCTCATAGAATTTATGAACAATATCAAATTCATATACATAAAGATGAGAAAGAAGATTGTACTTGGGAGAAATTTCAACGTTTCTTAGTTAAATCTCCATTAGTATTGGTAAGAGATATAATAATAATAATAATAATAATAATAATAATAATAATAATAATAATAGTAATAATAATAATAATGAAACTTCAAGATCCTGTTTTCAATCACAATGTGTGTGTGTGTCTGTTTAAAGGGATTGGGAACGCGATGATCAGTAGTATACAATGCTCTTCTGTGAATAGTTTTAAGATAGAATAAAGTTTCTATCTAATTCTGTTCATTTCTTACCAATTCTCTGGTTCAATATTATGTTGCTTGTTGTACAATCGTTCCGCATAATTTTATAATTAATCTCAATGATTGAGATTATGAGCTAATTGAAGTTATACCACCATGGAAAACCTGGAAGCACTGAACAGCCGTCTCGTTCTACTGCGGGACTCCTCAATAGTGCGCATCCACGATCCCACCTCGTAAGATTCGAACCCAGAACTTATTAGTCTCGCGCGCGAACGTTTAACCCCTAAACCACAACCGGCATCCAACGGTGGTAATGTCTAACTTCAACTAATCCACGAAATTGAGTGACACATTCACCATTGTCTTCAGTGAGTTACTATCTCACAATAGACCCGATTGAACTCCATTGGTGACTGCTTCTCACTAGAACTTCAGGAAATACCTCTTGAAGCCAGTCACTAGTGAGCATATGTTGATTAATATCAAAAGAGGAGGAGTCTCAGGTTTTTCATGGTGATCTAGCTTCAATTGATTCATGATCTCAACTATTAAAATTACTATAATATCTACAAAAACCCCTTCTGATATTAGTTTTATAATTGTTCAAATTAGTTTTTAGTCTTTGTTAATAATAAATTGAAATTTTCTAAATGTGAACGGTTTTAATATATAATTATTTCTAATCACCTAATATTAGTTAAATTATAATGACATATTAACTCCTGTGGTTTATGGTTATCAAATTAAAACGTGACTGATAAAATTCAATTAGTCTTAGGGAATAGACAACAAAACGTTGTTTACTATTCACTTATCGACCAGTGTATACATCCCAGTTTTACAGTAGCTCAGTAGTTATCGATATAGATATTGGCATTCAGTGATGCAAGCTCGAATTTCATATCATGTATCAGAATTCACCTTCCTCAAGGTTGTAGATTAACGTTCCAGATGAATAATATCAACCAGCTTAAAACCTAAATTCAGAGTTTTCCTCTGATTTGGTTCAACTAACTGACAGTTAGAGATGATACATGTTAATTCGATCATAATCTACTGACAGAATTTAAAATATATAATTTATATGTTATCTTAAAACTGTATATGTAACGATACCATTACACATTTATACCCAGTTTTCATCCAACTGTATCTGCTACTTTGAGGTGGTGGTTGGTCATGTCATTTGTGATGACCAGTCGAACTAGATTAGTAGGAATCCTCGTTACGTTAAGTAATACTACACCAAAGAGGCCGGTCCGAAAGCAGTAAGTTTGAAATCAGAGAAACCAAGGTTCAAGAGTGACGTCGTACTACTGACTATAGTTGGGTGTAACGGAAGTAAGGTATTTCCCTCTGAAAAACCCACATCTACATTATAAAATGCCGACCCTAAAAATAACTCACCTCAGGTTACCTCACAAATTTCCATCCCATGCAGTAAGGTTTGAATAATATAGAGCTGATATATCAAGAACTACTTTCTGAAATACCGTATGTGACCTCCCTAAAGTAATTGTCCCTTGGGCTCTGCGACAACTCCTAGATTGACAAGATCACACTTAACGTAACTATCTTCTCAGGCCCCTCAATAAGAAGTATACATGTAAGTATACCATGTAAACGACTATCACTAACCGGCTGCCTACTTGTCTCTAACTGTATTCAAGACTACCTTGTTCAAAATAGAATACTGATGTATTGGAGGTCATTGTTAGAATGCTTTTAAGTTTCACATACTTTTTTACTTAATAGTAAAACTTATCTATGACTGTAATCATCAACCATATATACTTGACGCTAAAACTATGAATGATTATTGTGTATAAATATTATTGATTAACATTCATGTGTGAATTTCTCGTCTATGACTGAATGACTTTTCTTAAAGGACGATTTTGAATGGAATTCAACTTCACCAATGTTTGGTTCTTATCATCAACAATATTGGCTTGATGGTGACAAATTAATTGCTGTCGGTGTTATCGATCTACTTCCACGATGTCTTTCATCTGTTTATGTTTTCTATGATCCGAACTATTCATTTCTTCATCTTGGTACATATACTGCTTTACGGTGAGTCATTAAACAGAGTTATTTTAAATAGTGTACTTCACTCACACCATATTCATGTCGATTAACTTGACTGCGAGTCGTGTGATACTGCTCGGGTACCCAGACCGAAGCAGGTGGTTTTCTTAGAGGGCACGCCCGGAGCCTTTGATCTGAAGGTCTGATCCATAAGGCAGTGGAGCAACGTAAGGAAATGCAGTCCCATGGAAGCCGGTGACCAACAATTGGTTCATACGCCATTTGTTCACTCAGGATACTGGAGCCCATGTGCACCATTGGTTTAGAATCAGGGTTTTCCAACTCTCCTAGGTGGGTCCTTCATATCCACCGACCCGGTTAAAGCACCGGACATTCGCTTTTCGTCTTCTCAATTTCGTAAACATTACCCACACCGCGAGAAGGCAGTGAGTAGGACATTTCTTATTTGTTTATTTACCTGAACACATAAAAATTGGTACAAGGGTGCACCAAATTTATATGCGCCACACAAAACAATGAGAATTTGAAGAGAAGAAGGGAAAAAAGGCAAGGAGAGTTGAAAAAGAACAATAACGAACAGATTAGTGTAAGGTAGTGTAATAATAATAATAATCGGGGAAACAGAAACATACAATCAGAAGAGATCTTTCAGTTATGGAAGAAGCAACCACTTTTTGTGGAGAAAGTAAGAGAAGGTTACAGCAGGATCGCCACTGGCTTCTATTCTGAGCCATATCAGATAACGTCTCTAGCCACTGTGTCGCACCATCTCTCGGACCCCATCCAGGGAGTCGTGAAGGACCAAACAGAAGCCAGTCCTTTACAGCTTCCTTTCATACCACGACACCATGCCGAACATTGACCACGTCTCCAAATCCGACCAGTTCCAACATCCGCAGATAATGCACGACGTGGAATTCTCTGGGACGACATTCGTAGAACATATCCAATCCACCGAAGTCTGTGTTTCAAGATGGTGACACCAATTGCATTATCGTCTTTGTGCCCGAACACACGATGCCGAACCTCTGCATTACTGACATGGTGTTGCCACTCGATGTCAGCAATTCTTCGGGGACAACGATGATCGAACACAGAGAGTCGTCTAACGTCCTCAACTCGGAGAGGTTAGGTTTCACAAGCATAGAGCAGAACTGCTCTCACCGACGCGTTGTAGATGCGACCTTGTACAGTCAAACTAACATCACAGTGGCGCCAAAGGTGGCCCAGAGTGGCATAAGTCACTCTGGCTTTCACTGTACGAGAATTTGCCTCATCACTCAGGCCACCACCAGCATTTATGTAGGTACCCAGATACACGAACTTCGACTATTTCTATCTGCTCACTACCCACAGTTAGTGCAGGATCAGGGTCCTGCAAACCTTATAAAAGTACTTTGCACTTCGAAGGTACAAAGCACATATCGTACATACGGAAAATGACTGCCAACTAATTAAGTGCGGATTGCATGGCTTATGTATCAGCAACCCTGTCTGACTCCACTGCTCGAATTGAAGCCTAGTGTTCGGAGCGTGCTAATGAGCTGGAAGCAGCAGGTGCATCTGGTAACTACCGGAAGCTCTTCCAACTCATCCGAGCCACTGGCAGCAAGAAGTCTAGTGTGAGTGAAACAATCTGTGAAGATGACGGGATGCCACCAGATTCCAGTGGAGGAAGAAATCAGGAAGGAGTGCTAGGAGTGGATAGGATACACATTGAGGAATGCACCCAACTGCGTCACAAGGCAAGCCCTTACATGGAATCCTCAAGGCCAAAGGAGGAGAAGAAGACCAAATAACACATTACACTGAGAAATGGAGACAGATACGAGAAGAATGAACAAGAATTGAATAGAACTAGAAGGATTGGTGCAGAATATTATGAATTCATTTTATTTCGTTGGGTTCTCATCAGCTGCTTACAACCTAAAATATTTAAATTTCAACATCATTACAGATATTGACATATTTATACATAAGAGGATGATTAAGGATGAATAAATGTATCATGGTGTAGCAAAGATTCCGACAAAGTTGAGAGGGAAAGTTCCGGAACATTGAAATAGTGATTAGAACTCATGAAAATAGATTAATGGTAATAAAGAAAATATAACTCCGCTTGGAGTCCCTCCGGGGGCTACTGCCGGTCCCAAGCCCGGATAAAGGAGGAGGGTTGGGCATGGGGTTAGCGTCCCCATCGCGTAGAAAACTAACTCGCTAAAAAAACGCTAACCAGAAAAAATTATTCAAACCTTTTAAACTCTGCCCTGGGAGTCAGAAGATCTTCATTTAGAAGAATTATGACGCCTCATGATGAAAGCCGAATCCCTTCGGAAGTTACGAGGCCGATGCCCCTTCTGACAACCAGAGCGACCATTTATTTAGGTACATGGAATGTTCGTACAATGTGGGACACCGGAAGAGCCTTCCATATTGCTGCAGAAATGAGAAGATACAACCTAGAGGTACTTGGGATCAGTGAAACACATTGGACACAAGTTGGACAACAACGACTAACTACAGGAGAGCTCCTGTTATACTCCGGCCATGAAGAAGAAAATGCACCACATACACAAGGAGTTGCATTGATGCTGTCCAAACAAGCGCAAAATGCACTTATAGGATGGGAATCTCATGGACCAAGGATCATCAAAGCCTCGTTTAAAACAAAGAAAGAGGGCATTTCAATGAACATCATCCAATGCTATGCGCCTACCAACGACTACAATGAAGACGCTAAAGATCAATTCTACAATAGGCTGCAGTCAATAGTCGAGAAGTGCCCAACAAAGGACCTGACCATTCTGATGGGAGATTTCAACGCCAAGGTTGGAACGAACAACACTGGATATGAAGACATCATGGGACGACACGGACTGGGAGAAAGGAACGAAAATGGTGAGAGATTTGCAAATCTATGTGCCTTCAATAAGCTGGTCATAGGCGGCAGCATATTCCCACATAAACGCATACATAAAACCACATGGACTTCACCGGATCACTCTACACAAAACCAAATCGACCATATTTGCATCAACAAAACGTTCAGGAGGACTATAGAGGACGTGAGAACCAAGAGAGGAGCTGATATAGCATCAGATCATCACTTACTGGTCGCCAAGATGAAATTGAAACTCAAGAAGCACTGGACAACGGGGCAGACAGTATCACAAAAGTTCAATACGGCCTTTCTCCAGGATACTAACAAACTCAACAAATTCAAGATAGACCTCAGCAATAAGTTATAGGCCTTTCATGATCTACTCAATGGAGAAGGAACTACTGTGGAGAGCAACTGGAAGGGGATCAAAGAGGCAATCACTTCAATATGTCATGAGGTCCTGGGTCACAAGAAGCACCATCACAAGGAATGGACCACTGTTGATACACTGGATAAGATTCTAGAAAGGAGGAACAAGAAGGCAGCGATCAATACCAGTCGAACAAGAGCAGAAAAAGCCAAGGCACAAACTGAATACACAGAAGTTAACAAACAAGTGAAGAGGAGCATCAAAACCGACAAACGTAAATATGTGGAAGATTTAGCAACGATGGCGGAAAAGGCTGCAAGAGAAGGAAACATGAGACAATTGTATGATACGACAAAGAAACTCTCTGGAAATCGCCGCAAACCAGAACGACCAGTGAAAAGCAAGGAAGGCGAGGTAATCACCAACATTGAAGAGCAACAAAACAGGTGGGTAGAACACTTCAAAGAACTGTTGAATCGACCAGCCCCACTGAACCCACCCAACATCGAAGCAGCACCCACGGACCTCCCAATCAATGTTGGCCAACCAACAATTGAAGAAATCAGCATGGCCATCAGACAAATCAAGAGTGGCAAAGCAGCAGGACTGGACAACATCCCAGCAGAGACACTAAAAGCAGACGTAGCGGCAACTGCACGGATACTCCACATTCTCTTCAATAAGATTTGGGATGAGGAACAAGTACCAACAGACTGGAAAGAAGGACTACTGATCAAAATACCGAAGAAAGGTCATCTCATCAACTGTGATAACTACAGGGGCATCACTCTTCTCTCAATACCGGGAAAAGTCTTCAACAGGGTATTGTTAAACAGGATGAAGGACTGCGTAGACGCCCAACTTCGTGACCAACAGGCAGGATTCCGTAAGGATAGATCGTGTACAGACCAAATCGCAACTCTACGGATGATTGTGGAACAATCAATTGAATGGAATTCATCACTCTACATCAACTTCATTGACTACGAAAAGGCATTTGATAGCGTGGACAGAACAACACTATGGGAACTTCTTCAACACTACGGCGTGCCTCAGAAGATAGTCAATATCATACAGAACTCATATGATGGATTACACTGCAAAATCGTGCATGCAGGACAGTTGACAAAGTCGTTCAAAGTGAAGACCGGTGTTAGGCAAGGTTGCTTACTCTCACCCTTTCTCTTTCTCCTGGTGATCGACTGGATCATGAAGACGTCAACGTCTGAAGGAAAGCGCGGGATACAATGGACATCTAAGATGCAGTTGGATGATCTAGACTTCGCAGACGATCTGGCCCTTCTATCCCAAACGCAACAACAGATGCAGGAAAAGACGAACAGTGTGGCAGCAGCCTCAGCAGCAATAGGTCTCAATATACACAAAGGGAAAAGCAGGATTCTCCGATACAACACAGAATGCACCAATCCAATCACAATTGACGGAGAAGATTTGGAAGATGTAAAACCCTTCACATATTTGGACTGCATCATCGATGAACACGGTGGATCTGATGCAGATGTGAAGGCGCGGATCGGCAAAGCAAGAGCAGCATATTTACAACTGAGGAACATCTGGAACTCGAAGGAACTGTCAACCAACACCAAAGTCAGGATTTTCAATACAAATGTCAAGACAGTTCTACTGTATGGGGCGGAAACCTGGAGAACTACAAAAGCCATCATCCAGAAAATACAGGTGTTTATTAACAATTGTCTACGCAAAATACTTCAGATCCATTGGCCGGACACTATTAGCAACAACGTACTGTGG